CCCTCATCACAGCTAGAGTCCAGTAAGTAAGGCACCTGCATGCACTCGCTCTGGAGGGTTTTTGCTAGATATACTGCAGATGAAACCAGAGGGACTTCTATAGGTTGAGTCCCACCCGTCTTCTGGGGATATGAGTAGATCCCACCCTCTTCAAGGATTATGTAGGAGAAATCCTGGTGGGACCTTACTATGTCCCCCAAATATGGGGGCTAAGAGCTGAAGACAAAGACAGAGAATGGGAGGTACAGGATCTACCCCACTCAGACTTTTGAAATGGCAAAGGTGAGGTGAACAAATATGACAGGTGCTGTCTCGCAGGGTACCCGGGGAGCTATGGGGGGCTGGGCGAGCGCTGAGTAAATTCCACCAAGATGTGTCGAGGGAGGCTGATGGAGGTGAGGGAAGAGGAGGTACAGACTGAGCGGGAGCTTGAAAGATGAGGAAGCGGGGGTGGGGCAGATGGAGGCTGGAGTGAGATAGGAAGGCGGTCCAGGGAGAGGAGGCAGTATTGCTAAGAGCCTAGAGCTCTGAAACAGCATGACAAGTTGGAGAAATGGCAGTGGCTTTGCATGATCCTAGGGAAGATACTTTGGGACTGGGAGTGAGAGGTGACAGGACTGGGGAGAGAGACAGGTAAGCTGCTATGATGGGTCCAACGAGGGATGATGCAGAATCCAGCCAAGACCCCAGGGAAGGAGGAGAGGAGATGGGGAAGGAGAAGGACAGGTTGCTTGCAGTGGATGAGAGAAAGGGTGATGTCTAAGCAGGGTGCTAGGCTGGGAATCATGGTACCAGTCACTGACCTGGTAAAACAGAAGAAGAGGAAGATTCGAAAGGCAAGACAGTGAGTTCCTTTCGCACCTGGCAGGTTGGGGGGTCCCCGGGAGCTGTCCAGGGGAGACTGGATGTGTGCTTTTATTCCTCAGACGAGCGGTCCTTAGAGGGACCCGTGTGTTGCTGGAACAGCCTGAGGTGGCCAGTCAGTCTTACTGCACACATTGTTTGTTGTAGAGGGCGAGGCTACTGTGATTGGCAAGAAAGAGATTATGAAATCCACACTCCACAGAGAGACTGGGGGAAGACAGTCCTGATAGATGCGATTCCAGTGCATGTATTTCTGTACACAAGTAATTTTCCTATTTTAGCACCCCTTCTCCTTTACCATCAGCTCTGCGCACAAAAAACCAACCCACAAAAATCTGTTCTGTTAATTTCATCCTCATGTGCGTGTTACGCATCTTCTAGGCTCTTGAGATTTGCATGTATACACAGACATATATAGATACATACACATATGAGTGTTCAACAAATTTACGCTCACACAGCATTGTATGGAAGTGTATGATGCATGTTGTCCTTGCCATTGTTAGGTAAGAGCATTTCTAAAATATTTGCTAATTGCACAGGTAAAATAATATTATTGTTTTAAAATAATAATATTATTTATTATATTAATAATAATAATAATTATATTAATATTATTAATAAAATAATATGAAATATAATAAAATTATATTTTATAATAAATAATATTTTATTATAAAACAATAAAATAATATTATTAAATTGAATTGAATATTAATGGATCCTCAAAGAAAATGCATTATCAAGTTCCAATGTTATTTTTTTCTCAGCTATTTGCACCAAAATGCAAAATTTCAGGAGACCTTAAATACTACAGAGTAAAAGATGTTTTCTTAAGGCTCTAACCATTTCCCTTTAGTAAACTGAAACTATGCTGGATTACTTCAGATTTTAGTTTAATATTTTATTATATGAGTTCTCAGTTTCCTAATGTATATTCTTTATATAACCTCTGAATTTATAATCTATGCCTTGAAATGCCAGTGGCATATTTCTTAATTTTGGTTTTTAAATTATCATATGGCAAAATTGACCTTTGTTTTGGGTGCATCATTCTGTGAATTTAAGTCTAGATTTCTGTGACTACCACCACAATCCGGCTATAGAACAGTTGGATCTTCCCCCAGAACCTGCTCGTGTCACCCTTTTATAATCATACCCTGTCCCCTACCCAAACCACTGGTAACCACTGCTTCTTTTCTCCATATAGTTTTGTCTTTTCAAGAATGTCATATAAATGCAATTATATAGTATCCTGCTTTGTTTTGTACGTCTTAAATTGCTCGCAAGACTGAACATTTTCCTACAAACTAGTTACAAGTATGTTTTTTGTATTTTGTATAGTTTGTGTCATTGCCACTTATTTAGTTGGGTCATGGGTAGTAGTTTTGGGTTTTTTTTTTTCCCTACACATTTGTGTATGCTTATCATATAAGAATGATGCTAACTTATTTTCTGTTGCATTTACCGTAGATATTTTCCTTAAGTCTTTGCCTTTGCATTTTGTTATTTTCTTTAAGTGTGTATGACCTTACACATAGTGATATTGTTTGATCTAGTAATAGTGGAATTCTCTGGTCATCTAGTTTGATGCATTCTTCCTAAATTAAAAAAAAATGTAAAAGGAGCTTATTACAGCATTATTTCTATTATGGAGAAACTAGACACAATCTAAATGTGGAACTATGAGACTTCAGTAAAGCAGATAATGGAGCTGTCCCTCGGTGGGCTATCATGTAAGAATTAAAAGGATGCTTACAGAGATGACATAGCAGCTTGGACAGTTATTTTGGTAAAAGTTAAGTTAAAAGTCAGATATAATCTCATACACACAGTACGAGCGCAGCATATAAAACAAAACCACAAAACCCATTAATTAAAATAGACTAGAGAAAATCCATCAAAATAGTAACCGTGATTTGCTTCTGTCGGTGGAACTATGAGGAGTGTTTTACCAATTTTGTGTATTTTCTTCATTTCATGATGATTGCCTATTACTGTTACAGAAGGGGAAAAGATTCTGGGCAGCTCAGCAATAAAATGCTACCCTTTGCCTTTAAAAGGCACCCCCTGAGCTTGAGGCTTTATTGAACAACGTGTGAGGTTAAGCACACAGATGCCAGTTCTGCTTTCTAAATGTCAAAATGTCACTGTGACTAGACCTTTAGAAAGACAGTGGCTTGGCTACCAGACAGATGCATGCATTGGGCAGATCATCAAAATGCTATTGGGTGAGGGGATAGGGAAGGCGAGTCTGGTGAACTGGCAAGGGAATCAGGATGGCTGTGTATAGGAAGTCAGTTGATGTCTAAGCCAGCCCTGTTGGGGGAGGGAGTTTTGCAGTAACTCTGTTCCTTACTATGATAGAACCCCTGGGGACACTAGACCTTTCAGTCTGTTCCCCAGACAGATTTTCCCAGGTGCATGTTGAGCTGCTGTTGCCTAATTCTGAACCCAGCCTGGAAATAGCAGAGTGACACATCCATCAGTAAAGGTCAGAGTGGTTGTAACTCGGACTTTATGAGTCAGTGATCCCTCGAGGCTCAAGTCAGAATTAATTACTTACCTTCACTTGTGTTAAGGAAATCTTCAAAAAGTCCACACGTGGTAAATACTCGCATAAATGATGCTGGTTCTTGGTGATTGTTCCTGATTAGTGGAGGAATATAGATTTGTCTGAAAGATCTACGTGGTCCAGGAATGGGGGTCTCAAAGAAGTTTTCTCTGGAGAATTCTCAATTCTTAGCCGGGCTTCTGCCCAAGAGTTCTAAGCTCAGAGGGTGAAGGGGGCCCCCTAAAGACAAATCTGGAAGTCATCTAGCTGCTAATTCAGCAGAGTGACTATACAGAATGTGTTTCCAAGGCTAAGAACTCCTGACAAATCATGGTGATTCCATAACCATCTCCTTTAGTTAAACCTGCTGAACTGCAGGAAATTGGGACTCTCTTAACCTCCATGAAATTAACAGCAGTGATCAAGAGCCCCTAATTTGTCTCTCTGTTTGTTCAAAAAATACCCAGGCTGCCGGCATTCCAGAGGACTGGCAATCTTTTATGGCTCTGTTGGATTCAGGGTTACAGGCCCAAGATTTCCAGTTGTGTCATTGATTCTCACATCTGGGATCCTGTTACTCTGAGTAGTTTTCTTCCTTCACAAAAAGGTAGAAAAGAAGGCTGATGCTTTCTTCTGGATATCTTTGGCTTGCGTAAGAATGTTTGGGAAAATTCGTGAGGCAAAATCGGTTCAAGAGAAGGAGGAAGCAAAGACGTAACTCTATCACTGAATACCAGGCAATAGTTTCAGATTAATGGAACCTCGTGGAAAAGTAGGTTCAAAAAAGGGTTGAAGTAAATGGACAAAACAAAGACAAGGAAGGAACAACAGGTGAAGAATCAGACTGGAAAATTCTGGAATTTGTAGCCAACACTACGATGATTTTCACCGATACCTCCAGGAAAGTGTAATTATTAGTTCTTTGGCTTTTACGAAGGACTTTGTTTCTCCTTCCGCAATGAAGTGGTATTTTACGGTGGTCAGTGATTTAGGGTTTTTAAGTGGTTTGTAATATTCAAGAGCTTAATTTATCTATATCTATATGTATATGTGTGTATGTGTGTCTAAACTAAACAGAGATCAGCTGCTGAATAAATATCTAGAGCCAATTCCATCACACACATAAATAGCCCATGTAAGAATTTCGTGGTGTCATGTTCAACTGGTGTGACTCAAATAGACTCACTGTTTGTAAACTCATTTTCTTATTACTGCGTGTTGTTTCCTGGGTACCTTCTTGAATAATATTGATAGAAGAAATAAAATGTTGGAAAGCCTCTGCTTCTCTCTGCAACTATTAAATAAAACTCCATTCGATTAAGAGTGGAACTTAGGTCTAACTGACAAGGTTCAATAACGCTAAGTCCTGAACGCCACTTTCTTTGGCTAGTCAGCCTGTGGTTTGGGGTGAGCCCAATAATGTACTGTGCAGAAGGGGAAGTAAAACATTTGTTTGAATGGATAGTTGAGCCATTTCAGGCTCTGGCTGTCAGAGATAAAGTACTGGTTAAGTGGGGGTGGGACACCCACAATAATATATTTTGCAGCCCCCAAACAGCTTTTGTCTTTTGTCGCTTTTCAGGGAGCGGCCATGTCACCGTTTCTTCGAATTGGTTTGTCCAACTTTGACTGCGGGTCCTGCCAGCCGTGCCAGGGAGAGGCTGTTAACCCTTACTGTGCTGTGCTTGTCAAAGAATATGTTGAATCAGGTAAGCTTGAGTGGGTGGTGTAGGTGGGGTGGGAGAGGAGGAGGAAGACCCTGCTATGAACTGGGAAGCAAGGTCTTCCGGGATCTTCAAGGTCATCTGGCGCAACCTAATTTTCCAGCTCAGGAAGCTGATGTCCAGGGAAGCCAAGTGCTTTCTCAAAGGCATAGGGGCTTAGTAACAGCCTCTGAACTAGACCTGGTCTCCTGCCTCATGTTCTACAATATTTCATGGTCCCGTTTTCCACATAAACAAAGGAAAGGAGAAATGAGTTGAGGACATTATTGTGAAGAGTCAACGGGGGAAAAAAAATCTAATGAGCTGAAGTAAAACATGGTGGTGTTAAGTCTGGTTGTTGTCAGTGATTATAGATAAAGTCTGCATAATCTTAGAATTAACCCCAAAGATGGTTTACTGCTTCTTTGGCCAAGCTCAGATGAATAGTACAAAGAATATATGATTAGCGCTTAGAGTCCAAATTACAGAAAACTTAACTTCTGTGTTTACTAAAACCCTGGTTGAGTGAAAGAATACTCATATTTTGTCAAATTTAAATATTTATGAGAAGTTCATGGTGAGGGGGAGAGAGTGACAGTCTTCCCGGATTCCTTTGTGGGTTTAAATCATTCCATTAAAATAATTATTCTGTCTGGAATCTCTCCATGATCACTTCAACTGTTCCCACCCTCCCTGATCCCTGCCTCTGTATTTTAAGATTCTCATGGACTTTCTTAAAAAAAAAAAAAAAAAAGGCGGGAGGAAGTTTACATCCCATGATTTTTCCAGCTTCACTGCCTTCCTACACACATTCTGGTTTTCACAGAGACTTCGTAGGGAAGTCTGATTGCCACCAATGCAGAGTCCCAGTAACAATAGGAGCCATTATAGTTCGTTTACAGAGAAAGTATTTATGGAGCACCTACTGTATACTGGGTCAGAATACGTGCCTTTCCTCTAGAGCTTCTTTCCTAGCAGAGGAAGATAGGCAAGAAAGAAAAATATCATGTAGTAAGTCATGTGAAGTGAAGACATTAAAGCAGGGTAGTGGGGAGAGAGAAGGATTGGGGCTGGAGAGACAGGTGGAGAGAGACAAAAGTCCTGAAAAAAATAGTCCTTTAAGGGGGTGACATTCACAGGTGCAAGAGGAACCTGATTTTGCAGTTGAGAACCTCCAGCTAGATGTTTCCAGCTCAGAACCCTGGGGTTTCAAATCCTGGTGTGTTGGCTTTTCTCTCCCTTCTAAGACTTCTGCTCTGTGGTTGACTGACTTCAGCCTTCCAGACCCTGTGAGCACATCAAAGCGGGGAAGACTGTCTGATGATCTCGATTTCCCTTCTGCCCAGGTTTCTCTCCTGTTTAGTTAAAAGTGAGAATGGCACTTGCTCCCAATCTAAGACCTTTCAAAGGTCACCAAAATCTTTGAAGTGTGCAATGTCTGAGTTTTTCAAAGCTGCTTTCGACTTAATGTCCCCGGGATCCAGTTCCCTTTACAACCACAGCTCTCACTGACATTTGCCTCTTGAGAGCCTTTCTAAAATTTCTTCTTCTTTTGGCCTTGCCTTTGAACTTAGTCTAATCAGCCGTGTGGATCCAGAGAACGTGTCAAAAAAGACTTTGTTTTTCCAAAAGGTTAGGCTGTGGAGTTTAGAGGTTTGGGGTGTCGATTTTTTTTTTTAGTTCGGAAAAGAAATCACTCTGAACATGATCATTCAAATATTACTTCTCTAGAGTTTAAGCACATTTCAGTCTTGGGGGTGTGAGGCTGCATTTTACGTAAAGCAGTAGAACAGGGACAAACAGGACACAGTGCTGTCCGTCTGGGAGCCTTTGAAAATGGCAAAACCCACTTTAAATAGACAGGAGCTTGAGTTCTGTTTCTCTTTTTAAGTGATTGCAAACGTTACTGAATGAAGGTGTAAAAAATGCCTTGCTGTGGGAATTTCTGTCCTTTTTCAGGGTGTGGAGAATGGTTGTGGTTGGGAGGAATTAAAGGAATTATGAGGGGTGGCTTCAAACCTGTGGAAGTAAAACGTTACTCCGATCACTAATATTGCCGTTGCTTTTTCTTATAGTCCGATCCTGAGTTAAATTTCTTTTAAACAAGACATAAAAATCTTCCCCTTCCTATTCCACGCTCAACACTGTCAGAGTTTATACCTCTAATAGTCAGGTTTACCTAAAATTTGAAGTCTCAGCTTCTTCAAATCCTTGTATACCTCCCGAAGAATAATTTAGCAAATGCTAAATGCCTGTTCTGCTTTTAGCATCGTGCGCCGGAGAGAATCAGGATTCAGAACTGCTTTGTTGCCCTGTTTTAAGTGAATTTTTCCTTTTGCTTTATCAACATCTCTGCATTGCTAAATCTGCCACTTTGTGTGCTTATGATCACAAGAAACACACACTGAAATACAGCTGCAGTTTTCCGCTCCTGAAATGATTAAAGAACAAATACTATGGAAAATCCAATATGGATGAAAGATAGGACAACACTGCTTAATCCCACGAGTAAGTCCAGTCGCCTGGTGGTTCTGGGGAAGTTCCCTTAAACTATATCATCCTGACCTTGGCTCCTGTTACTAACCATTTCCAGGACCCCCACCGGCCTGCAGGTCTACAGCCGGCTTCACTGGCTCTGGGGATGGGGACCACCACCTCTCCGGAATACTTGTTAATTTTTGCTTAGGGCGCATGGCTTATGTAAAATATATCCTCATTTGCAAATGAGGGAAGGAAGTAACGGCTCATGATGTTTTAAAGGTTTTGCCTCTTAGTGTATTTATGTCAAATGGAAAAGTTTTAAATATCTTTTTAAAGGAGCACCCATTGTAAGCCTGAAATTATGCCCCTGTATCTTTCAGATCAATCTCTAATTCCTTTACGTGTTATTTTTGTTCTCCCAACAGACTGATATATCCCGGAGAGCAGAGGGAATAGGTGCCACTGTTGAGCTGAATTATTTCCCAGGGCTGGTTAAGGGAGTAATGAGAACATATCTTTCTGTTCCTAGAGAATGGGCAGATGTACATCCAGAAAAAGCCAACCATGTACCCTCCCTGGGACAGCACTTTTGACGCCCATATCAACAAGGGAAGAGTAATGCAGATCATCGTAAAGGGCAAAAATGTGGACCTAATATCCGAAACAACTGTGGAGCTCTACTCCCTGGCCGAGAGATGTAGGAAAAACAATGGGAAGACAGAAATATGGGTAAATAGCCAAGCTGTGAGCTTTATTTTAAGTGTCTATTCCATTAAGTGATAAGAGCCATAGTAGTTGAAGACTAGCTCAGGATTTCAGTGTCATCCTGAAGGTGTGATACGCTGGCCTTAAGTAAACTGACTCCCTACCACGGATTCGTGGGTGGCTTGATAATGATGACTATTCACTGCAGTCTTAGAACGTACTGGTATACTCAAATCTCTTTGATTCTTATGTAAGGGGAAGAAGGTCTCTTAGGCTATGAAGAACTGTTACTGACTTATTTATAACTGTTAAAGTAAGCTTGGAAATATCACAAATTTTCCATAACTTGGGAACCTACCTGTGGCCTATTTATCAGGGTATCATGTAGATATCAAGATATCTAGGTACCTATGTGATACCTTGATAAAATATTTTAGATAAGATGATGGGTGAATAAGTGAGAAGAGAGAGCAAAGATCCATTTAATGTTTGATATCTCAATCCCTATAATTTTTTTTTTTTTAGCCGTAATTTGTTCACTTAGCTTACTTTACTCTAAAAAGTACATTATACACAATCCGTGTTACCACACCAAGTTTTTGAAAACTTAGATTATAACTACTTTGGTAGCAAATGTTTAGAAAGTTAAAGGGAGAAGTAAAATATGAAAGCATAAAAAATTCTAATGAAAACTTCTGGGGTACAAAAATTGAAGAAAATATACTAGTAAAAACTGCTTTTACATGGTCTGAAACCCAGAGAGTGTTTTCACATGTCTGTATCATTTGTGCAAAGGAGATTCTTACCTTTCTGCTTTGTGCAGATTCTTAAGAACTCCAGCCAAAAGATCTTCAGGTCACAGGTTTCAAAATGGGAATGATACAAGCCTAAAACCTAGATTTTTGTGTCAATTACGTGTTTTTGACCTGAAAAAAAGGGTACTTTTAGGAAAGTACATGTATCTTTGCTTGTATCACTAAAGTAATCTTTAAAGATAAAGATATATCAAGATTTTTTCTTAACGTTCCCCATGCTTAGATGTGTTTAGATAACTTAGTTCAGTGTGTCTGTTGAGAACTTCCGCATTCAGCAGAATTCCTCTTGGGTAGCTAGTTATACAAGTAGGAAGAGTTTAAATAAGTGGATAATGTCACAGGTATGTGACTTAGTGTTAAAGGTTTATACAAACCCGGTAGGTGAGGGGGTGAGGCTGTAGGTACAACTGAATCCTGGGAGCATTTGGCTAGGCTCAGAGAAAGAAGAGAGAAACTGGAGAAAGTTTTCCTCAGTTTTTTCCCCCATTCCCATTTATCTTCCACTTTCTGCCCCATTTTTTTAAAAAAAGGGAAGAGTCACCAAATCTCTAATTTTTTAAGTAGCAGGCTATTTGATTTCCTTTTCAGCTAATGAGAGGATAACTATTTTAAAAATTCTTTTGTTAAGCATCACTGACAAACAAGTTGCTTTTCTATTTGTATTTCTTAAAGTTGCATTTGATTTCTTGCCTCGACTTTCTCTGATTTTTATCCTAATCAGGCTTTTTACACTTTTTGCATATTTGGGATTTTTGAGACATAAGCCCTTTGATCCTCATTTAACTACTAGCAACCTTCTTACATTTTCCACCTTTGCTGTTTTCAGGGTTATTTGTTAGTTCACTTTTATTTATAACGTTTAAAGGTCAACAGGTTGCTTTGGACTTATAGTTTCCCTTGCTTCTATTGCAGTCTGCTTTCTTAAAATTAGCTTCTCTATTTAAAAAATACCAAAAATGATTTTCTCAGAATTGCCTCTCACTTCCATAAACACCATCCAGTTTCCAAACATTAAGATTTTTCCTTCTGCTTTCCCAAGATTTTCCCTGTTGGTGCGGTTATCTCCTGTTCGCTCTCAAAAACATAATGGACTGTCACTTTCTGTGAACGTTGTTCTTCCAGCAGCTAACTGGTTTAATTTCAACCATCACCACTAACTCCTGAATATCGGTATTGAATATTGGTAATATTGGTTGCAGTCACCTGGTACCAATTTTTGCCACTTCCTTTGGGACTGACCCCCTGTTCCCTTGCTCTTCTAGCTTTATTTTTGCCTCCTTATTTATTATTCCATAAACCAGAAAATAATGGTGTATATACTTGTTGTCAAAAGCACTTCTCTTTTCATTAATCTATTTAAGCTTGCATGAGAATGTGTAGATAACCAAGCAGTACAGGCTTGTCACATCATAAAATTCTAATAGTAGTGATGCTGTAACATCGACATCACTATTACGTCAGTTCTCCGAGATCTTTAAAGGTCTGGTGACAGGCACAAGGTCACCATGACCTTGAATTATTTAGCCATGATTCATATTCAGTCCTGACTTTGACCAGACCCTTCTTACTATTTTTCAGTTACTCTAGTTACCCATGGATGTAATGATCGGCAGTGCCCTGCAGTTCACCTTTGTATTCTTTTTAGCATATTTATAGTACAGTGTTAACAGTTTACTCTATAATCAGTAGTGGTCAGGTCGTGTCAGATTTGCCATTTTCCCCCTTATGTCACATCACATGATTTCCTGCATCATCCCTTCTACATAATGATACTGAAATATATATATGTGTATATATATTTTTAAATTTATTTATTTATATTTTCTTTTTTGGCTGTGTTGGGTCTTCGTTGCCGTGCGCGGGCTTTCTCTAGTTGCAGTGAGCAGGGGCTACTCTTTGTTGCGGCGCGTGGGCTTCTCATTGAGGTGACTTCTCTTGTTGTGGAGCACGGGCTCTAGGCGTGTGGGCTTCAGTAGTCGCAGCACGTGGGCTCAGTAGTTGTGGGTCACGGGCTGCAGAACGCAGGCTCAGTAGTTGTGGCACACAGGCTTAGTTGCTCCGCGGCATGTGAGATCTTCCCGGATCACGGCTCAAACTCGTGTCTGCTTTATTGGCAGGTGGATTCTTAACCTCAGCGCCGCCAGGGAAGTCCTGAAATACGTTTTTTTAAATCCCTTCCTCGACCAATCTAATTAAAATTTCCCTTAGCAGTGTGAAAATTTCCAGCACTTTCCAAAGGAAACAGGCTCTCTGTGTGAAAGAAAAAGGCTACTCCCATTTAATACCCGATTAACCTAGGGGCAAGTGTATTCAGGCGTCCTCAAAGCAGGATTTCTCTTTCCTTCCAGAGGGAACCTACTTGTTCTCCAAGTGAGCTAGTCCCCAGCCTCCATGATTCTTTTGTCACCATCAAGATATGAATCTACCCTATTACAACTCTTAAGATAAGCTGTAGTGCAGGGCAAGGAAGTCACATAGAATCTGTTTTAGAATTTGGTTTCTTCCTTAAGGAAGTTTTGGTCTCCAAGTCAAATTAGGTAGTTGCTGAGGTGTTTTAATAAAAGAAAGCCTATGTTCACGGATGCTGTGCTAGTCTGATGATAATATGGGTAAGTTAAGTGAAAGGGAACAGGGGTGGGCCCTGCGCTGGGGATCTCCTGCCATCACCAAACCCGCCAGTTGTGATGTCATTCAACTCAGCACTTGTCTCACATTCTGACCCTTGTTTCTTTCCTTCCTTACACCAGTTAGAGCTGAAACCTCAAGGCCGAATGCTAATGAACGCAAGATACTTTCTGGAAATGAGTGGCAAGTGGCATTTCTTATTCCTGTTTGGGGGTGTGGCGGGCATGTCTCCTCTCCTTTGCAACTTATTTCACTTTGCTTTTCTGAGAGCAAAGAAGATAGAAGCATGAGGAATTTTCTTAAAATTCCCAGTGGTGCTCAAGCATGAGTTGAATATACAGTCTGTGGGGCCAGATCCACATAGAAATAGAAAACATTTATAGCATTCGTTTTTAAATGGTGTGAATTCATATGCCCAGTGCTTTTCTAGTCTGTCTGTATTTTCATTTGGGAATTTAATGTAAACACCAAAGGCTCTGCTAATGTGTTGCTCTGTGTGTACACACTGTGTATAAATGATGTGATATAACAAGTTGTCACACCATCAGTAGAATACAAAATAAATAAGAAACCAATAAATATTTTCTATAACACTATAGTAGCAAAATACTAATGCTTCAAGTTAGTCACCTCAAATCCTTTTAGGAACAAGGAGGGAAAAAATGCATCACTAAAGAGTTTCACTTCCATCTCACACACAGATGCCGTTCACAGAAGTTACATTCACAGGCAGTGTGCTTGGTGCCTGTGATAGCCCGTCAGTTCTTCCTGTTGCGTTTATATCCTGTTGTCAAAGTGCTGTGTCAATGAATCAAATGCTACTACTCCTAAAATCTTTTTTTTTATTAAAGTATAGTTGATTTGCGATGTTGTGTTAGTTTCAGGTGTACATTAAAGTTATTCAGATATATATATCTATTTTACATACATCACACACACACACACACACACGTGTATATATGGTTGGGCAAAAAGTTTATTCACGTTTTTCCGTAAGGAGTTGCACAAAAACCCAAACGAACTTTTTGGCCAACCCAATATATACTTTCTTTTTCAGATCTTTTTCCCTTATAGGTTATTACAAAATATTGGGTATAGTTCCCTGTATTATACAGTAGGTCCTTGTGGATTATCTGTTTTATATATAATAGTGTGAATATGTTAAGCCCAAATTCCTATTTTTATCCCTCCACCCCCTTCCCCTTTGGTAACCCGTAAGTTTGTTTTCTATGTCTGTGGGTCTATTTCTGTTTTGTAAATAAGTTCATCTGTGTCTTTCTTTTTCTTTAGATTCCACATGTAAGCGATGTCGTATGATATTTGTCTTCTCTCTGTCTGGCTTACTTCTCTTAGTATGATCATCTCTAGGTCTGGCCATGTTGCTGCAAATGGCATGATTTCACTCATATTCCTATTTCAGTGAGTACGTAGGAGGTACTCGATGAATGTTTGTTGAACTGTTCAGTTGGACTCACCCTGGCATTTAGAAATTCCTTTTATTTTCTTTTGGTTCCCACACAGTGGCTATTCCAAACATGCCCATACTCCTTGGTTGCTGAAGGTGTCTTGATCTTCTCTTACTCTTGGAGGTTGGCTTTACCTCCAGTGTAGTTGGGAGAGACTACGTCTTCTGTGTGTCTCTGCACTTCAGGATTCAGCTGCTTCGTCCTGCATCTCTTCCCGCTCTTCTGCCTCAGAGAAAGTCCCTCCCTTTCTTGGTCTCCTGGCTCTCACCCCTAGCAGCTCTGTAACATCAGTCACACTTCCACTCTGCCACCTTCAACTTTTCTGTCTTTCTTTGGTTGCTGCCTCATTGCCAAGACATACATAATTAAGCCATCTTCTCCAACCTGAAAAGAAAAATTTTTTTAATGTTTTAACCTCCATGAGTTTTTCTTTCCTTTCCTCCCCTGACACATTTCTTGAGAAAGTAGTTTAATATATCAGTCCCTGTTTCTTCACTACTCTGTCAATTCTTAAACCCTAAGCGTCTGGCTTATATTTCAACCAATCTGCTAAATGGCTTTCTCCAAGAGAACAGATCCTCAAAACAAATGCATGTGTCTTAACCTTCAGTTCCCTTGACACCTCTGTTTCATTCAACGCTGAGAAACCCATTCTTTCTTGGATTGCTTGATGTAATATTATTCAAGTTTTCCTCTTAATTTTTCAGCTGCCTGTTCATGGCCTCTTTTGTAATTCCTTTTCCTACCTCCTAAAAAATATGGGTGTGTACTTATCTCCAAGTCTATTCTTTGTGTGAGTGCCGTGTCTTCCTGACTGGGCTATTAGCCATTCAGAATTAGGGGTGATGTCTCATAGTTCTTTAGACCATTCAGCACAACAGTTTGCTCATAGCTGGTCAGGAAATATTTGTGATTTAACTGACTACAAACAAGTGACAGATTAAATAAATAGATTGGGCGCCATTACTATAAAAGAAATAACCAAACATACAAAAACCAACGCACTTATTTCAAGCCAATAAACAAACAGAAGGCCAAATTACTTCAGAAATAACCAGTAAATACAAGGAGAATGTTTAAAATTCTGAGCTTTTATACATTTACTTTCTTGTAATGATTGAAATGGTCAGAGGATAAAGGAAATCACAGGAAGGAGCAAGGGAATGAATTCCTTTTTAATACTCTGGCATTTTTTAAATGTACAATGTTATATTCTAATACAGACTATTTTATATTTATAAATATATAGTTATATGTAGTCTGTACTGTTATATAATAGTTTATGTATTAGACTATATATAATTTTTACATAATTATATATATATATATATATATAAAATTTTTTTACAGTCATACAGATAGGGTTCCCAGAATAATCCACTTCCATCCCTGAATTTAAAAGTAATTTTATGCTTTATTTTATTTCATTACATCTGGACCAAAATAAAAATGAGTCAAATCTTACAAATGGCCTACCATGCCAGTCCCAAGTTGTAAACTGATCTCTACACTTAAACCAGAACTTGAAGAAGAAGGCAGTTGCCTTAGTGACCCTAAATTTAATCCCTTATTCGCCAAGCCTAGTTTACTTCTGACCCAGTTCCTAATAAAAAGACTTAAATTGCCTAATGAAATATTAGGCAAAATATTCAGCCCTATCTAAGGAGCTCTTTATTAGGAAGGCTTTTCATCTGGAAGTTTGGAGTTTCCGTAAAACAGACCTGTGGAGCCCTGTGGAGAAGACTTTTGTCCTAAAATGAGTCCTGAGACTAGGCTGCATCCTGGGGGAGAGGTCTCCACCTCCATGCCCCGCCTTTGTCCACCCAGTGTGTTTCTAGGCTGGCCACTCTAAGGGGTGGGGAAATTAAAGTACTTTGGCAGGAACATTTGCCTCAAGTGTGTTGTCCAGTCTCTGCCGTGGCTTAGCCAGGATGGAAATAATTTAGTTTAAATATTGTGAACTCTTTTCATTTGTGAAACATGAGCCCCTTATTCTCGCTAAACCTCCATTTTTTGTATTTGGAAAAAATAAATAGAATAAGTCATCCAAGAATCTTCAAGCTACTTAAAATCGTGGTTGTAGGAACTATAATCATTGAATTCATTACCCTTGTTTTAGTGATGATGATTATTTTTGTTACTTCTTTCTTGTTTACCATGTCACACTCTCTCACATGCTAGAGTTTCCATCGTGCTGTTAAACCACGACTGCCTTGCTGTTGTGTGTTTTCTTTGGGCCTGGGCTTCAGCCAGGGCTGATACTCTCACTGGTATTCTCGGAATTCTACCAGCCTTTTGGGAAGATGTCATTTGGGTATTGGGCACTGTGGACAGTTACTACCCAAAGTACCTTCACCAATATCCAGAGCCCAGGGTGAACTGAAGAAATGTGAATACGATGATTTGATGTAGGTGACTAGGTAACATCCAGGATTACATTTTTTTTTTTTTAATTGCAGTGATCTGTTCATCTCTGGCCCTTTCCACATTGACCTGTGTAATCTATGGCTGGTGCCTCTGATTACTGTGGGCCTCAGGAACCAGAGCATAAACAACTTCCCAAAGTTCTTTTGTCTTCAGAAGTCTGGCCAGCTCCCTCCTACTTTTTCTTGTCCATAAACAACCAGATACAAAGCATACTGGGACCTTAAAAAAAAAATGTCGTTTCCAACTTACTGTCAGTAACCACGTTATTCTCTAGAATTACAGGTAAAGTATTTGCCACTTCCTGCCTTTTCTGGCTGAATCATCATTGACAGTGAATAGGAGAGGCTGGTAAATACCTTGAATGTTCTGACTTTTGTTTTTAAAAATTGAAAGAGGATATAGCTCAGTGTCATGAAAGAGGAGTGAAGGGTCAAGCCAGTAATCCAGCCTCATGGTTCCAATCCTATAACAATACACCCTGTGATAATCCTGTTATGGAATTAAGGTAAGATGCTTCGTATTGTACCAACCTTAAGAAGTACTTAGGAGAGGGCAGACAGCAGAAGCAAGAAGAACTACAATTCTGCAGCCTGTGGAATGAAAACCACATTCACAGAAAGACAGACAAAATGAAAAGGCAGAGGACTATGTACCAGATGAAGGAACAAGATAAAACCCCAGAAAAACAACTAAATGAAGTGGAGGTAGCCAACCTTCCAGAAAAGGAATTCAGAATAATCATAGTGAAGATAATCCAGGACCTTGGAAAAAGATCAAGAGGATGCAACAGATGTTTAACAAAGACCTAGAAAAATTAAGGAACAAACACCTAGAAGAATTAAAGAGCAAACAAACAGATGAACAATACAATAACTGAAATGAAAAATAAACTAGCAGGAATCAATAGTGGAATAACTGAGGCATAAGAACAGATAAGTGACCTGGAAGACAGAATGGGAGAATCCACTGCCATGGAACAGAATAAAGAAAAAATGAAAAGAAATGAATACAGCCTAACAGACCTCTGGGACAATATTAAACGCAACAGCATTTGCATTATAGGGGTCCCAGAAGGAGAAGACAGAAAGGACCCAAGAAAATATTTGAAGAGATTATAGTCAGAAGCTTCCCTAACATGGGAAAGGAAATAGCCACCCAAGTGCAGGAAGCACAGAGAGTCCCAGGCTGGATAAACTCAAGGAGAAACACACCAAGACACATAGTAATTAAATTGATAAAAATTAAAGACAAAAATTATTGAAAGCAACAAGGAAAAATGACAAATAACATACAAGGGAACTCCCATAGGGTTAACAGCTGATTTCTCAGTGGAAACTCTACAAGCCAGAAGGGAGTGGCATGATATATTTGAAGTGATGAAAGGGAAGAACCTACAACCAAGATTACTCTACCCAGCAAGGATCTCATTCAGATTCGATGCAGAACTCAAAAGCTTTACAGACAAGCAAAAGCTAAGAGAATTCAGCACCACCAAACCAGCTCTACAACAAATGCTAAAGGAACTTCTCTAAGTGGGAAACACAAGAGAAGAAAAGGACCTACAAAAACAAACCCATAACAATTAAGAAAATGGTAATAGGAACATACATATCGATAATTACCTTAAACGTGAATGGATTAAATGCTCCAACCAAAAGACACAGGCTCACTGAATGGATACAAAAACAAGACCCATATATATGCTGTCTATAAGAGACTCACTTCAGACTTAGGGACACATACAGACTGAAAGTGAGGGGATGGAAAAAGATATTCCATGCAAATGGAAATCAAAAGAAAGCTGGAGTAGCAATACTCATATCAGATAAAATAGACTTTAAAGAATGTTACAAGAGACAAGGAAGGACACTACATAATGATCAAGGGATCGATCCAAGAAGAAGATATAACAATTATAAATATATATGCACCCAACATAAGAGCTCCTCAGTACATAAGGCAACTGCTAACTGCTGTAAAAGAGGAAATCGACAGAAACACAATAATAGCGGGGGACTTTAACACCTCACTCACACCAACGGACAGATCATCCAAACAGGAAATTAATAAGGAAACACAAGCTTTAAATGATACAACAGACCAGATAGATTTAATTGATATTAATAGGACATTCCATCCAAAAAAAACAGATTACACTTTCTTCTCAAGTGTGCACGGAACATTTTCCAGGTTAGATCACATCTTGGGTCACAAATCAAGCCTTGGTAAATTTAAGAAAATTGAAATCATATCAACCATCTTTTCTGACCACAATGCTATGAGATTATAAATTAATTACAGGGAAAAAAAGGTAAAAAACACAAACTCATGGAGGCTAAACAATACGTTACTAAATACCCAAGAGACCACTGAAGACATCAAAAAGGAAATCAAAAAAATACCTAGAGACAAATGACAGTGAAGACACGACAATCCAAAACCTATGGGATGCAGCAAAAGCAGTTCTAAGAGGGAAGTTTATAGCTATACAAGCTTACCTCAAGAAACAAGAAAAATCTCAATCTAACCTTACACCTAAAGGAACTAGAGAAAGAAGAACAAAACCCAAAGGTAGTAGAAGGAAAGAAATCATAAAGATCAGAGCAGAAATAGATGAAATAGAAAAAAAGAAAACAATAGAAAAGATCAATAAAACTGAAACCTGATTCTCTGAGAAGATAAACAAAATTGATAAACCTTTAGCCAGACTCATCAAGAAGAAGAGGGAGAGGATTCAAATCAATAAAATTAGAAATGAAAAAGAAGTTACAACAGACACCGCAGAAATACAAAACATCATAAAAGACTACTACAAGCAGCTCTATGCCAATATAATGGACGACCTAGAAAAAAATGGACAAATTCTTAGAAAGGTATAACCTTCCAAGACTGAACCAGGAAGAAATAGAAAATATAAACAGACCAATCACAAATAATGAAATTGAAACTGTGATTAAAAATTTTCCACCAAACAAAAGTCCAGGACCAGATGGCTTCACAGGTGAATTCTGTCAACGATTTAGAGAAGAGCTAGCACCCATCCTTCTCAAACTGTTCGAAAAAATTGCAGAGGAAGGAACACTCCCAAACTCATTCTACAAGGCCACCATCACCCTGATACCAAAACCAGACAGAGATACTACAACAAAAGAAAATTACAGACCAGTATCACTGATGAATATAGATGCAAAAATCCTCAACAAAATACTAGCAAACAGAATCCAACAACACATTAAAAGGATCATACACCATGATCAAGTGGGATTTATCCCAGAGATGCAAGGATTCTTCAATATACGCAAATCCATCAATGTGATACACCATATTAACAAATTGCAGGAGAAAAACCATATGATCATCTCAATAGATGCAGAGAAAGCTTTTGACAAAATTCAACACCCATTTATGATAAAAACTCTCCAGAAAGTGGGCATAGAGGGAACCTACCTCAGCATAATAAAGGCCATATATGACAAACCCACACCCAACATCATTCTTGATGGCGAAAAACTGAAAGTATTTCCTCTAAGATCAGGAACAAGACAAGGATGTCCACTCTTGCCACTGTTATTCAACATAGTTTTGGAAGTCCTAGCCATGGCAATCAGAGAAGAAAAAGAAATAAAAGGATTACAAATTGGAAAAGAAGAAGTAAAACTGTCACTGTTTGCAGATGACATGATACTATACATAGAGAATCCTAAAGATGCTACCAGAAAACTGCTAGAGCTAATCAATGAATTTGGTAAAGTTGCAGGATACAAAATTAATGCACAGAAATCTCTTGCATTCCTAAACACTAACAACAAAAGATCAGAAAGAGAAATTAAGGAAACAATCCCATTCATCACTGCAACAAAAAGAATAAAATACCTAGGAATAAACCTACCTAAGGAGGTAAATGACCTACACTCAGAAAACTATAAGACACTGATGAAAGAAATCAAAGATGACACAAACAGTTGAAGAGATATACCACGTTCTTGGATTGGAAGAATCAATATTGTGAAAATGACTATACTACCCAGAGCAATCTACAGATTCAATGCAATCCCTGTCAAATTACCAGTGGCATTTTTTACAGAACTAGAAAAAAGATCTTAAAATTTGTATGGAGACACAAAAGACCCCGAATAGCCAAAGCAGTCCTGAGGGGAAAAAAACGGAGCTGGAGGAATCAGACTCCCTGACTTCAGACTATACTACAAAGCTACAGTAATCAAGACAGTATGGTGCTGGCACAAAAACAGAAATAGATGAATGGAACAGGATGGAAAGCCCAGAGATAAAGCCACGCACCTATGGCCAACTAATCTGTGACAAAGGAGGCAAGGATATACAATGGAGAAAAGACAGTCTCCTCAGTAAGTGGTGCTGGGAAAACTGGATAGCTACATGTAAAAGAATGAAATTAGAACACTCCCTGACACCATACACAAAAATAAACTCAAAATAGATTAAAGACCTAAATGTAAGACCAGACACTATAAAACTCTTAAAGGAAAGCATACAAAGAACGCTCTGTGACATAAATCACAGTAAGATCTTTTTTGATCCACCTCCTAGAGTAATGGAAATAAAAAACAAAAATAAAGAAATGGGACCTAATGGAACTTAAAACCTTTTGCATAGCAAAGGAAACTATAAACAAAACGAATAGACAACCCTCAGAATGGGAGAAAATATTTGCAAACAAGTCAGAGGACACAGGATTAATCTCCAAAATATATAAACAGCTCATGCAGCTCAATATTAAAACAACAAACTACCCAATCCAAAAATGGGCAGAAGACCTAAATAGGCATCTCTCCAAAGAAGACATACAGATGGCCAAGAAGCACATGAAAAGCTGCTCAACATCACTAATAGGAAATGGAAATCAAAACTATAATGAGGTATCACCTCACACCACTTAGAGTGGCCATTATTCTACAAACAACAGTGCTCACTTCGGCAGCACATAAACTAAAATTGGAACAATACAGAGAAGATTTGTATGGCCCCTGCGCAAGGATGACGAATAAAGACGCAGACCTACTAGAGAATGGACTTGACGACACAGGGAGGGGGAACGGTAGGCTGGGACAAAGTGAGAGAGTGGCATGGACATATATACACTACCAAATGTAAAATAGATAGCTAGTGGGAAGCAGCCGCATAGCACAGGGAGATCAGCCCGGTGTTTTGTGACCACCTAGAGGGGTGGGATAGGGATGGTGGAGGGAGGGAGATGCAAGAGGGAAGAGATATAGGGATATATGTATATATATAGCTGATTTACTTTGTTATAAAGCAGAAACTGACACTCGATTGTAAAGCAATTATACTCCAATAAAGATGTTTAAAAAATCAGCAAAAAAATTTAAAAAAAGAAAATCTACAAACAACAAACGCTGGAGAGGGTGTGGAGAAAAGGGAACCCTCTTGCGCTATGGTGGGTATGTAAATTGGTACAGCCACTATGGAAAACAGCATGGAGTTTCCTTAAAAAACTAAAAATGGAATTACCATACAACCCAGCAATCCCACTACTGGGCATATACCCTGAGGAAACCATAATTCAAAAAAACACATGCACCCCAGTGTTCATTGCAGCTCTATTTACAATAGCCAGGTCACGGAAGCAACCTAAGTGTCCATCGACAGACGAATGGATAAAGAAGATGTGGCACATATATACAATGGAATATTACTCTGCGATAAAACGGAACGAAATTGGGTCATTTTTAGAGACACGTATGGACCTAGAGACTGTCATACAGAGTGAAGTAAGAGGAAAACAAATATCGTGTATTAACGTATATATGTAGAATCTAGAAAAATGGTACACATGAACCTATCTGCAAAGTAGAAATAGTGACACAGATGTAGAGAACAAACGTATGGACACCAAGTGGGGAAAGTGAGGGGTGGGGTGGGATGAATTGGGAGATTGGTATTGACATATATACACTAATATGTATACAATAGATAACTAATAAGAATGTGCTGTGTAAAAAATAAAATAAAATTAAAAAAAAAAAAAAAGCACTTGGGGTTTGCTCGTCTCGATGCTTGTCTCATTCCTCGTCTGTCTCTGTCCCTTCCCCATCTCCCCCAGCCCCGCTCCCCCAAGCCCTGACAGTCATATGGCAGAACGTCACTCTGTCCCCTGTCCTCTTCCTGCAGACACAAAGGTCATGAGTGAATTCGAGAACGAAGGCTTCTTTGCTCTGCATCAGCGCCGAGGAGCCATCAAACAGGCCAAGGTCCACCACGTCAAGTGCCATGAGTTCACGGCCACCTTTTTCCCACAACCCACGTTTTGCTCCGTCTGCCATGAGTTTGTCTGGTAATGGTAACTCAGCATTTCACTCCAAGCTTCAAGTTATGCATTCTGTCGCGTCTTCTTGATCCGCCAGGTCTGGCATGCCCCACCTTGGGGAAGTGTGCCGGAATAGGTACCACTTGAGAGTTTCCAGTGGCCTCACCTGGATTGAGAAGGTTCAAAGGGTGTGACTCTCTAGAACATTTTCATAATATAACTCCTGTAGAGCAAGGGAACCAGCCTCCTTAGGAAAGGTTCCAAGGACTTCAGTTTCCAATTAAATGGGAGGCTTATGGGGGTGAGGGGGAAGGGAAAGAAGAAGGAGAGATCTTTATCGTAAGCACAGTTTTACAGCCAAAACTGCCACCAGCTCCACAGCCCAACCGTGCTGCTACTAATGTCTGCAAAAGGCAACACTTGCCCGTTGGAGCTAATGGGTTTCAATGTTTACAAGGCTCTTGGGTGTCTTAAGAGCCCTCAAACAGAGAGATTCGTTCAACCCTCAGTAAACACACAGCGAAGGCTATGGGGGAGTGGAGACTTGAAACGACTCCTATCTCTGGCCCCAGCCTCCTTGCCTCTTCTGGGGTGTTCTCTCCTTAACCCCTGTGTAACCAGGGTATCCAGAGGTCAAGTAGACTTTTGGTGGATTTCCATCAACTGTCTTCATCTAATGACTTGAACCTCCTTCCTTTCTAAGAGTGAATGTTACTCAGGCTTCGGTCTTAAGCTTGAGAATTCATTAGTTGCACATATTCTCAGATACTCAGAAAGAGGAAATAAAATGTTACAAAATAAAATGTTATAAATGTAGATATCTTTGCTTATCTGTACTGAGCTTAGTGAGACATTGAATTTTTAAGCGCAGACATGGAAATTTGCTACCACGATCCCGTGATCCATTTTTTTAAAATATTAATTTAAAAATTTTTTTCTTTTTTTGGCTGCATCGGGTCTTAGTTGTGGCATGCGGGGTCTTTTGTTGAAGCACGCAGGGTCTTCCGTTGCGGCACACGGGCTTCTCTAGTTGCGGCAGTGTGCGGGTTTCTCAGTAGCTGTGGCATGCGGGTTTTCTCTTCTGTAGTTGTGGCGCGCGGGCTTAGTTGCCCTGCGGCATGTGGGATCTTAGTTCCCCAACCAGGGATCGAACTCGCGTCCCCTGTATGGGAAGGTGGATTCTTTACCACTGGACCACCAGGGAAGCCCCCCCGCTTTATCGATTTTTGGTCAGGCATTTTTATCTCTACATGTTTGTTTGGAAAATATGCAAATGGGAGGGAAATCAACAACAACTCATTTATCTAATTATCAGACTTTTCACAAAGCAGTTTAAAATAAAAGCACAGGGCTTCCCTGGTGGCGCAGTGGTTGAGAGTCCGCCTGCCGATGCAGGGGACGTGGGTTCGTGCCCTGGTCCGGGAAGATCCCACATGCCGCGGAGCGGCTGGGCCCGTGAGCCATGGCCGCTGAGCCTGCGCGTCCGGAGCCTGTTCTCCACAACGGGAGAGGCCACAACAGGGAGAGGCCTGCGTACCGGAAAAAAAAAAAAAATAAATAAAAGCACATGTTAACACTCTTGGCTAATAATAGACTAGTGCTTCAGATCAGAAAATGCTCTGTGATAGCAGAAAGCTATGGGATCTTGTTCATCTTTTAAATGTTTTTGCTACTACTGTTGACTCAAAGGTCCATATAAATATTCAAACATGTGCTTTATTGCAGGGGTCTGAACAAACAGGGCTACCAGTGTCGACGTAAGTCAGAAGGATTTCTTTTGTATTATCGTCATTCTTTTCGTTTAGTTGTCCCTTAACTTCTGAAAATCTCAAGCTGTAGTCATTTCTTTTCAGAATGTAATGCAGCAATTCACAAGAAGTGTATCGATAAGGTTATAGCGAAGTGCACGGGATCAGCTATCAACAGCCGAGAAACCATGGTACGGATCTAGATTCCTCTCTGTCTGAAATACGATGATTTTATCCTGACATTAAATTTTACAGCCCACTAATTCTTGTTCCTAATGCCTGAATTTGAATGCTTATATTTTTCCTTGCACACCCTAAAACCCTTTCCTCTCCAGTGGTGATGGTTACTGAGATCCAAAACTAGGGGATGAATAAGAGAGCACAAGAAGAATTTTAATGATTCTACCTTTTCCAGAAAAACATCACAGAAAGGTGGCCAGAAAGCATAGTTCTGATCAATTATGTGAGAACGACTCCTGTGGCATCTACAGCTAGAAGTGACAGTTAAAGAGTATAGGCAATGGTTATAAAATGCAGATGTGAGCATTTACAAGGGAGGGTAACAGATATGTAATTCTTATATTGAGAGGCAAGTATTTCTTTCAGAATGAACTTTGAGATGTATCATCTGGTGGCAAGTTAGACTTTACTCTGTGGGAGAGGGAGGAAGATGGAGCTGCAGAGAGAGACAGGCAACCAAAGCAGTCAGTCTTGGCAAGAAGGGAAGAGGTCCAAAGCCACATGGACATGAAACTCTGACGGACAGGAAGGAACTGAAGAGATGGTTGTAGATGAAGGTAGGTTTGTAGATTTGGGGAAGGACAGATGAGGGAGCTTCCCTTAGATGACTTAGGTCCTCGATGAAGTCTGAGGACTAGGGGAAGAAAGAAGGCAGCAAGTGTCTTTGAGGAGGAAGGAGGAGCTGTAAAATAATTATCTCATAGATGGCAGGGCAAGGGGATTCAAGAAAAGCAGCAGGATTGCCAAGCACAGTTGCAAGTCCATTTGAGTTTGAGGGCAGCCATCTCCCGGGTGTGTGATTTTCTCCAGCAAAGGGGTAGGCAAAGAGACAGCAGATCGGTTGGGTTTTTCCAGAGTAGAATGTCTTTTAAAATTTAGAGCCAGAAGGGGATAATCTCCTGTTATGAGTGACTCTGCCAAGGCTCAAAGAGGTTGAAGTAGTTTGTCCAAGGTCAGCCACTTTCACCTGGCAGACTAGAATTCGGATCTCAGTCTCCCAGACTAAGGCTTTTGTTCGTTGAAATCACAGTGCCTCTTTTCATCCCGCCCGCCTGCTCCCTTTTTCTGATGCCTTCAGCTTTCCTGGAAAAATCACAAATTGTAAGCATGACTGTGAACTTCAATGGCTAACGTCCAGTAGGACTAGAATGAGAGCCACAGGTAAAATTTTAAACTTTCAAGTAGCCACATTAAAGACCGGAAAAAGCAACAGGTGGAATTCATCTTAACGATATACTTTATGTAACCCAATCTGCTCCAATATTATCATTTCAGGATAGAATCAATATACAAAATTGAGATATTTTACATTGGTTTTTTTTTTTCCATACAAAGTTGTCATAATCCAGTACGTATTTTACACTTACAGCACATCTTTTCAACACCTTGTAAGTGTTGGCCCATGTGGGTGAGTGACTGTCGTGTTGGAAAGTACAGATCTGTAGTCTTTCCCAGACACATCTTGAACCATTTGGACCTGGGTTCAGGATTTGATGTAGAAGTCTCCTAGCCTGGACCTTGCCATCACTTGTTCATATTTATGTGGAAAAGTTTCTACGAAATAGGAGTTCTGAAAGGCACTTTTTCTTGGTTGAAAATATCTCGATAAGTGCTGGGCAGCTTTTAAGCCATTCTAAATAGCCATTCTAAAGACTAAATGCTGACCAAAAGCCACCATGTAGAGATTTTTGTAGAGATCTCAAGTAAATAAAACTTTTTATACTGCACAAGAATATCAGTATTCTTGCCAGGAATCAGAGTGCCTGATTTTTTGTTGTTGTTAATGTAATAAGTTTGATTAAAGGGGAGAATTTAAACTCTAGAACACTTTAAAAAAGAAAATCTTCACTGTATCTACTGCCAGCATCCCTCTGTCATCTCCCTTCTCTCCATCCCTTAAACCATCACATTTATTTTGAGAGAGCGAAGAGTAATGGTGGAAGAGGGGATGGGCTCAGATTCGGACTGTCAGGCTCATAGATATCCCAGCTCAGTTGATGGCTGTGTGTCCTAGACAAGTGTCTGGCCCTATCTGTGCTGAATCTCCCCACCTATCAAAGCAGGATACTAACAGAGGCTGCTTCAAAAGAGGTATTTTGAGGGTTGTATGAGATATCACACATGTAAAAGATAACACGTGACGGGTCTAACGTGTCTATCACAGCACCTGGCAGAACTGTTATCTACCTCTTGTCTCTTCAGTTCATGTATAAGCAGTGTGAAAAGCCTTCCCACCTTGGGCTCCCACACTAATAAACCGATTTCTCTAGAGGAGGCATTATATAACATCTTCCAAAGGTTAAAGCACTAGTGCTAGGTTAAAAGAGAAAAGGAAATATTTACATTAAAGTAGGAAGGGAAGGGCTTCCCTGGTGGCACAGTGGTTGAAAGTCTGCCTGCCGATGCAGGGGACACGGGTGCGTGCCCCGGTCCGGGAAGATCCCACATGTCACGGAGCGGCTGGGCCCGTGAGCCATGGCCGCTGAGCCTGCGCTTCCGGAGCCTGTGCTCCGCAATGGGAGAGGCCACAACAGTGAGAGGCCCGAGTAAAAAAAAAAAAAAAAAAAAAAACGAAGAAGGGAAGTACGTTTACTTAGCTCCCATTTAAATAAATAACCCTGGTCTCCTCTTCCTGAAATCTTAGCCCGTCTGTGGGAAGGCCGCAGACTTGCCCCCTTGCCCTTGACCTAGAAGAGCTAACGGCTTCTTGTCTTCTTTGGACATGACTGTAAGGCTTGACAAGTAAAAAATTATGGGTTCTAATAAACATCACTGCAGTGTTTTTTATTATTCTGTTCACTGTGCTAAAGTATCTGCTAAGACGTGAAAAGTGGGGAAGTGGGGACACACCGACCATCACGCATTCTTTTTCCCTTTCAGTTCCACAAGGAGAGGTTCAAAATCGACATGCCACACAGATTTAAGGTCTACAATTACAAGAGCCCCACCTTCTGTGAGCACTGTGGGACCCTGCTCTGGGGCCTGGCGAGGCAAGGCCTCAAGTGTGACGGTGAGTTTAATGAGCGTGGCCCCACGGAACGGAACCCCCTGCGGCTGGATTTGCAGCTTTGATGGAGAGAACCAGGGAGCGGGGCGGGGCGGGGGGGGAGGATGGAGGTGACTGGCTTCTCCGTCCAGCCCGGAAGAGCCCCGTGATCCTGAATGAGAAGTTCCCCGATAACAAGCCACTGCTGTTCTTTTCCTTCCACCTGTCCCCACCCCATGCCTTGTTTCCCAGAGAAGTGCCCAGTCTTCCAGGTCAAATGTCACCGCCCCTGGCCCCATGCCTTCTGTGGTACCTGCCTGATTCTCCTCTGACTGGCTCCCTCCCCTGGAGCTGCCCCTTCCTGACCTCCACAGCCCCAGCCCTGCCCCTGCCGCTCTCCTTAGCACCAGCGAGTGCGATTCTGTCTGTGGCTCCATCAGGGAGCGAGCCTGGCACGTCTGTTTCGCTGCTGGATAGTTCTGCGCAGAAAACTGCCTGACTTAAGCTGGCGAGCCTGTCCCCAAAGCGTGCTGTGAACTCCACGTGCACGGGAAGACGCCCAGCTCTGATGCTGATGGCCTGAGAGCAGAGCCCGAGCCTGCTGCCCTCCACCGTGGAGTTACTCAGCCGGACCCTGAGAAAAAGCACAAGAGCTCTCTCTCTCTGAAAGTCCAGGCTGCGAAGGCAAAAACCTTTAGAAACTGAGATGCTGTTATGTCAGGATTAGGGGGTAGGGAGGAAAAAGTCCAACAAGAACTAACGAAGTACTTCTGCCCTTGGAGCGCAGCTGAGGGGAGGACAGAGCGCAGATAACATTCAAAACATTGGTGCCTCGCTCAGCAGGGACCTTTGTATTTTATTTTATTTAAAAAAATTTTTTAATGAAGTATAGTTGATTTACAATGCTGTGTTAATTACTGCTGTACAGCAAAGTGATTCAGTTATACACATGTATATACATTATATATGTGTGTGTGTATATATATTATATACATATATATACATTCTTTTTTCTATATATTCTTTTCCATTATGGTTTATCATAGGATATTGATTAAACACAGAAGCCACTTTATTCTTTCTCGGCAGCCCCATTTTAACTTATGCCACTGGCTAATGCGTGTTGTATCTTTTAAGTGATAAAGGGTACCGACCTAAGGAGGAAGATCACCCTTAGCTGCCTGCCTGTCCTCATCCCAGTTGCATCCACGTGTCTGGTGGAGCCTGGAGTGACATCTTAATGGAGGCGGGAGGGGTTAGGTCTCCAAATCATTACTGAAGGCAAACCCACAGGTAGTCAAAATTCACCTGAACAGTCCCTCCATCACCCAGAGTACCACCACGCACTCTCCTCTCTACACCTGTTTAAGAGTCCGTGGGTGGGTGGGCTGGGCGTTGTATAGAGTATATTTAAGAGTCGTAGGCAACAGGTAATGTTGGAATGTTCTGCGGGGACAAACGGACAGGAATAATCAGATCCCCGTCTGATGGCACCCCTGTTCCCGTGATACTCTCACTCGTCGGGTTTTCTTTCCCTGGAGCCCAGGCGCCCCACCTGCAGAGGCCGAGCTGGTCCCAACAGCACGGTTGTGCCTCTGAGCTCAGAACTTCCAGGATTCCTTGGCATTGTTCCACCACACCCTGCTGGGTTCTGTCCTTTTCGAACATTCCTTCTTCATTCCATTCTCTTTCCTCATTCCCTGTCCTCCTGTGCTTCCTTAACCCTACTCCCTCTCTTCTCTTCTCCCCTTCCTCTCCCCTCTCATCCCCCCTCTCCTTCCCCAAGTCACTCCCTGGAACCCCGAGAGGCTGGGCGCTGTCTGCTCCCCCCACACCCTCATCTGCATCTCCGCCTCTCACTCTCTCCCCTGGGTCTCTCCCCCCCCTCTTCCTCACTCTCTCTTCTTCTTACTCTCCTGTAAGCCTCCTTCCTAAGTAGGGCCCCCACTCCTCCTGACCCTGTCTCCTTTCTCTCACCACTGAAATTGCCATGAAAGTAGTCATCTGGAGGGACTGTTTGCACTCATTGAGGTCCAGTTATCACCTACTAGGTTAGTAACAGACTTAGGACTTTGTGATCCTAGTGGGCATGGGGCCTCTCTTCACGGCACATCAGAGAGGAGCTTAGATCCGCTACAGTTTTAAAGAGCAAGGTGCTCCTCCCCATATCCTCAAGTCCATTCTCTAGTAGGTCTGTGTCTTTATTCCTGTCTTACCCCTAGGTTCTTCATGACATTTTTTTTCCCTTAAATTCCATATATATGTGTTAGCATACGGTATTTGTCTTTCTCTTCCTGACTTACTTCACTCTGTGGCAGACTCTAGGTCTATCCACCTCATTACAAATAGGGAGGGTGGGAGGGAGAGAGACGCAAGAGGGAAGAGATATGGGAACATATGTATATGTATAACTGATTCACTTTGTTATAAAGCAGAAACTAACACACCATTGTAAAGCAATTATACCCTAATAAAGATGTTTAAAAAAAAAAAAAAAGAGCAAGGTGCTCGATGCTCGCTACATGCCTCCCTCTACCTTGCAGTAAATAAGTAGGAAATGGGGCCGCCCAGTGTAAAACCTGCATCCGGGAGCCCAGGAGGAGTCAAGCTAACAAGGCAGAATTCAGAGGGCAGAAGCCATTATGAGCAGCACCTTTACTATATTAAAGGTTCCACTTCAGGTGGATTTTTATGACTTTATACTGGGATGAGTAATAGTTTATGCTTACCTACTAGAAAATGCTGTTTTATTTTGTCTTGTTATGAACTGTTTAGTGAAAACTAAAGGTGAAGATGGCTAAAATTTCACCTAAATATTTCAAGAATATTCTATTGTAGTAAATAATAAAGATGAAAGAAAAGTTGTCTTTTGTGAACACCTGTTGGAGGCCAATCACTGTGCTAAGTTTTTGCACACAAATGGGCAAGTAATAAGGTAAGAAGATTAAAACGGCATGATTTTATAGCTTCTCCTGCCTAATTCCACTGTAACAATCCCTGTTGATATACCTTTATAGAACCTAGCAGGACGTGAGATCAGAGTTCTATCTGCTGGTGTTGGGAAATCTTTGGTAGCTTTTTTTTGGCATAACGGTGATGTTTCATAAGCAGAATTTGCATTTTTCTAAGACTAATGACATGAAGCGATATTGTCTTTACACAGACACAGAGGTGCCCGACCCCCAGTACAAGAAGGCTCCCACAGTCACAGCACGGTCTTGCTGTTTTTAGGACTAATGGATCAGGATACTCCTCCAGCATCGTAGGTCTCAGAGCTAGAAGCCTATACAGATCATTTAGTTCAAGTAGCCCAACTCTCCCATGTGGTGAGAACACGGTCTCCAGACACTTTCCTTCCTTTCACCCCCGCCTCTCACATATGCACAGACCACCCCACTGTCTCAATTTCCATTTCGACTGCGGCTGTACCCTAGGCTTCAGCCTAGAGGGTAGAGAAGCCTCTCGCAGCCTACGTGGGAAAGGGGATGCTTGGACCCCAGTCTAAGTGGCAGTGAATGACCTTCCACCCAGCATTCCACATTTACCACCAACTTATTTGCTGGGATCAACCCTGGAATAAGAGCCAACCTCAGTTTTTCACTCTCATCGATGGCACAGTGGACATGCATTCTGGGAGCAGCCTTCCTCCCCATCCACAGGCTCTGGTTCTGCTTTGAGTGGAAGTCACTTCCCAGCAGCACGCTGAGGAGCATCTGGTGTGTGGGTGAAGGTCTCAGGGAATCAGGTGAATGTGTGGTGGCATCGTAAAAGCACTGCCCTGGTCTGTTTGCCTTCAGTGTCTCCCTCTGCTGGGAAGATGGCACCGGGGATTTGCCAATGATTCCTTGGACATACATTGGACATACATGCACCTAAAACAGATCACGTGCAAAGTCCGTGGAAGTTGGTTCTGTTGCCCTTGCTCAAGGTGTCGCTTTCTTCCTTTCAGCATGCGGCATGAACGTACATCACAGATGCCAGACAAAGGTCGCCAACCTTTGTGGCATAAACCAGAAGCTAATGGCTGAAGCACTGGCAATGATCGAGAGCGCTCAACAGGTAGGAACGGCTTTTAGGGGACAAGTTCCCACAATTTCAGCTCAACTAGGACTATTCCAGTCCCTTCGCTCTGTGCTCTGTAGCAGCTCTACAGGGCGATGTGGACTCTATTTCCGAGTACTTGCCTTGACACTGACTTTCATCTTCGTGTCCACATCCACTGCTTGAGATATTTATTTAATGCATTTGCATCGTGTGGATCTTTGTAAGATCTTAAATTCTTCATGGAATGAGCAGGGGAAGAAACAAATAAATTCATTAAAATTACTGAGGATTCATTGCCAGCTTTATACCTATATATGACAACTATATAATAGCCTGGGGGAAAAAACATATATTTGCTAGAATCATCCCTAGAATGCCTTCAAAACACTGAGTCCAAGGCAACTTTTGCCTTGCTACTTACTAGCAGGCCGAATCCTCACATCCAAGGACAAACCCTCTTTAAGAGTTGGCATTGCCCACGTAAGCTGTTTTTCCATCCATTGGCCTTTGATTCTTATCTGTGACCGAATAATGTGGATAGCATGGGATAAACCAGTTGGCCCCCAGAAAAGTATGCAGGAAGCGAATACGTTCTGCTGGTACGTAAAATATGATAGACATCCACAGGATATGGGATCCCTAAGAGGGTGCCAGGGGGAGGGAGAGATTCGGTTATCCTACACATCTAGGGATCTGAAATGGCTTTCATGCCCATGGACAGCAGGCTGCACTGTCCCGTTAATGGTGGGTGGGTAGGTGGGTAGTCTGATTCTTTGTTTGTAACCCAGGCTCGCTGCTTAAGAGACTCTGAACACATCTTCAGAGAAGGTCCAGTTGAAATTGGTCTCCCGTGCTCCATAAAAGGTGAAGCAAAGCTGCCGTGTGGACCAGCACCGGGAAAAAAAGGTAGCTACCCTGATCCACCGTAGAATCGTCAGTAATTCATCTTGATTAACCTGAGTCGTCTGGATTTAAATTCTCCACATACCTGGCCTGATAAACGATTCTTTTCTAGTTAAGAGATGACAGACCTAGCCACCAACAGAGAGTCTCCTACTTCTTAGAAGTATTATAAAACCGAAATATACCCCACTAGAAAACCTTCATAAGCAGGTGGTGGTGGTGAGAGATTGAGGTGGGAGAAGAAAATGCGGCATCTCTGGAGGAAACAATTGCAAACTTTTCCTTAGAATTTTAGAACATTACTCCCTGCCGTGGTTAAACAGTTTTACAGAAATAAATCCTCCATAGAGCTCTAGGGTAGGAATGCCACAGACCATCTTATTCTGTACCTTTGAGACTTTTCTGGAAAGTTTTAAGATTAGAAAGGGGATTATGGACACCAAGCGGGGAAAGCGGGGGCATGGTGGGATGCATTGGGAGATTGGGATTGACATCTATACACTAATATGTATGAAATAGATAACTAATAAGAACCTGCTATATAAAATAAATAAACTCAAAAAAAAGGGGAAGAATAGCCTAACGTCCTTAACATTTCTGATGTTATGGAAGTTTATCCAGCCTCCTCTCTGAAGGTCCTTCATGAGAGGATATGACCATGTGATTCTGAATAGTTTTAGCATACATTATAAAATACTTATTTTCCTTGGACTTAGAATACGAAAGATAAACCTAGAGATCGGAAAATAAATGTCATTATTCCAACCACAAAAAAAGACATAATTATGTGATGTGATACAGGTGCTAACTATCTCGTGATATCACAGTAGATAAATGTGTCAAGCAACATGTTAATGCACCTTAAATTAGCACAATGTGATACGTCAATGTATTTCAATTTGAAAGAAAGGAATGTTATAAGGGGGTCGGAGGAAGGCTCCAGAAATGTTTCTCTACACCTTCTCTGGCAGGAGGTGAGGAATAAATTGTCCTGAAAATTTTTTACAGAAGGGTTTGGATTAGATTTGGGAAGGGTCTCCGGGCAGAGGAGTAGACCGCGTGTCTCAGACATGATCAAGGTAGGTAGCATCTTGACTCGAAGACTGTGGCGAACGATGCATTTCAGATCTTTAACGATCTGCTATCCATTTCTTCGTCCCCACATGGTCGGTCACAGAAATGGATGCCACTGTGCCTGTGAGCCACGCAAGCAACGGAGAATCATTTTCCCTCCAATTTGGTTAAAATCCCTATTTGTCCGTGATTCGGCATTATCAAAAGTGCTCATTCCTGTTGCATAGATGGTCTTTTGCTGATTGGAATGTTTCTTAACTTGATATTTTCCCCAGTCTGTTGCATAAAGAGACACAGTCCACCCCCCCCCACCCCCCCAGATACCAGGCTCCCAGGCAGGAGGTGCTGCTTTTGCCCTGCAGGAACCCCTTTCTGTATCGCTCTGAATGGAGCTTCAGAATGGGATGTGGAAAAGAAAGCGTGTTCTCAAAGTAGCTAGAACGACCTTCCGCTGTTCCTTATTTCCTTTTAACCACTGATTTGCCATTTTCAGAGCCTCAGGGGATCTCCTGGGAGTCTCCCTTGGATGAGATGGAGAAAGTAGGCCATCGTCCAGAACCTGAACTTAACGTAGAAAGACCATCTCTACGTATGAAATTAAAAATCGAGGATTTTACCTTGCACAAAATGTTGGGGAAAGGAAGTTTTGGCAAGGTATGATATTGTATGTAGAATTCTGTGGCCCAGTTTCCAGAAATTGAAGAGCAAATCTGGTGGAACTGAACCACACATGGGTGTGCAGAGAGCGCATTCCCGGTCAGGAACTGTCATGTGATGTGATATATGTTAGAGGGCAGAGAGACATCTGAATAAATAGGGACCCGGGGAGCTCTGGGGAATAGCAGCCTCTGCTTCCTGGGAACAACGATTCAAGCCATTTCACTTGGAAGGTGTTCGTCCCACGAGCTTGTGTGTTCGATATCTTTGGACACCAAAGAAATGAGAAGGTGCCTCAGCCGGTTCCTATTTCACAGATATTTTTGTTTCATTGGTGGTTTTTTTGTTGTTGTTTTGTTCCTTTCTCAAACCTGGAGTGTGGTTTTTACCTTCTGTATGATTTCTTCTCTACCAAATGTCCTCAGCCTTGTTTTAGTTTGCTAGGGCTACTGTAACAAAATACCACAGATGGGGAGACTTCAACAACAGAAATTTATTTCTTCTAGTTCTAGAGGCTGGAAGTCCAAGATCAAGGTGTGGACAGGGCTGTTTCTCCTGAGGCCTCTCTCCTGGGTGTCCACGCTGTCTTCTCCCTTTGTCCTCACATGGCCATTCCTGTGTGCATGTCTGTGTCCTAACACCCTCTGCTTATAAGGACACCAGTCATATTGGATTAGGACCCACCCTAATGACCTCATTTTAACATAATTATCTCTGTAAGCACCCTGTCTCCAAATATGGTCTCTGAGCTGCTGGGGTTTAGGACTCCAACATATCAGTTCTTTGGAAGGGACACAATTCAGCCCAGAACACGGCCCTAGCTTGAGCGTCTTAGGAAAAGTTCCACGGAGGAAGTCCCTCCTCTAAATTCTTCCTGCCACTCACTCAGGTTATGGGCCATTAGTCAGTCACAGAGGGCAAGGAGAGGAGGAAGGAGACACAATGGAAGAAATTATGATCAACTCTCAGTGACAAGAGGAGATTTTCAAGCCAGTGATTGTTAAGAGGGATGTCATGGAATATAGGCTTTTAGGTTATTTTGGATATTAAGGATATCACATGTATTAATGGAGCTCTCAGTTGTTTTATATTTATATTGGATGCAACGTCTGGGAAAGTTTTAGCCAAAGACTACTGTTCCATGAATTTGTGCAACCAAGACCAGCATTATGCTCAGCACCTGCTCACTAGACTTTGGCTGCAAAACTTACCCAGTTTATTTAACAATAATGTAACTGGGTATTGCCATAGCTGGAGGACATTGTGCTGCAGTTGGGGTTTCTATATGATACCAAGGCATTGCCTTCGGCAAAATCCACTCTGCCCTACGAACTGTAGCTGATATCCATTAATTCGTTTATTTTGTTTCCACAATAACCTGAACCATAGCAGGCTCGTCTGGTGTTAATCTGAGTGTAATAGGCAATTTTTACAGCCAGTCTTCATTAAAATTTAGCATCAATTAATGTGCAGTTTATAACCTGTTTCCAAAAATTGAAAGCACATTATAGAGATGGAAATGGCTTTTTTTTTTCCAGCTTCTTAGTTTATGGCTGGTTTGGGGATGTTTTATTGAAAGAAGCAATTACCAAAAGGGGACTTTTAATTGTTAAAGAAAAGCTTTTCTTTGTTCCCGTGTGGATTTTACTTTTCAACAAAGTTAAGAAGACGTTAAGTTAAACCTATATGCCTTAGTAAATAACCCAAGGGACAGCTGAGAGCTTCAGGTATCCTCTGCTCTGTGTCCAAAGCAGTAAGCCCCTCACCATCAGGACCCCGGATCCCTGCACTCTGAGGGAGCTGCACCTTGGGGCCCAAGGAGAGGGGGATGAAGCACCAGAGCAAAAAGGGGCAGCCATATCTCCTTTTCTTCCAACACTAAGAATACTCAAATTTGCTTTTCTTCTTTCTTTTCACTCTATATGGGAAGTATGGTTCCTCATCAAAATGGTAGCCTCTGTATTCTGGTTCTCCATCAATTTTAGGCCCAGGAGAACAAATTGCATGTTTTCTGGGGATACGTATGTACATCATTCATTTGCCTGAATTCTCATCTAAGCTCTACCCCCTCTATCAAGCCAGCTACCCCACAGTTATGTGTCTGCACTGTATTATTTTAAACACAGACACGTGCATTTTCACTATTGGTGTAACATCATTAACGCCAGCAATCCCTAAACGTCACTAAAAGAAGCAAATGGCAAGTGGTTTTTTTTAAGTATAGTTGATTTACAATATTAGTGTCAGATGTATAACATAATGATTCAGTAGTTTTATAGATTATACTCCATTTAAAGTTATTACAAAATAATGGCTGTATCTCCCTGTGCTATACAATATATCCCTGTTGCTTATTTTATGCATAGTAGTTTGTATCTCTTAATCCTGTACCCCTATATTGCCCCTCCCCCTTCCCCTCTTCCCACTGGTAACCACTAGTTTGTTCTCTATATCTATGAGTCACTTTCTGTTTTGTTATATACATCCATTTGTTTTGTTTCTTAGATTCCAGTAACTGTCATTTAGAAAGCATTTTACAGCTCACAAATCACTTTCCCACCTGGTATTTGATTTTCACAACAGTCCTGTAAGTCAGCAGTGTGTTGATAGTTACCGCTTTTACACATTCGGGAACTGAAGCAGCCCAGGGAGGTTAATTTGCCCACATTCCCACAGCTAGTAAGTATCTGTGAAATGAGGCCTGAGTTGGGGTTTTCTGTCTCCAAATGCCATGTCCTCACTCCTGTCAATCGTCTGTGGCTGCATCATTTGCAAAAGTGAAAGTTGGTGAAACTCTCCATTACATGCCATCTGGTGTCCTTTCTTATAAGGTTCATGAAATCAAATGGAAAAAGTAAACTTTGGAGTCAGATTTCCCACTGAGTAGCTCCATGAATTTGAGAAAGTTACCCTTTGAGCCTAGTTTTTAAAAATTATTACTATCTATCTGTGTTGCAGTGTTCTGAGCTAAGAATTAAATAGATACTAAAATTAGATAGCACATGTGAAGCACATAGCAGAATGTCTGACACATAGTAGGCCTTGGAGATAATATTAGTGTCTGTGCCATCAGAGGAAATGCTGTGCATTCTATAAGCACATCAGGAAAGCTCAATTCCTCACATATTCTTTTTTTGCCTTGAAAAAATGCGTAAAACTTAGAGTAAGGTTTTATGCTCATTTTCAGTGATACTTCAAGAACAATCAAGTCCTCCTTCCACTTGCTGCTGCTTCCTTCAATACATATTTGCCTCTGAATGTTTTTATAAACTTACTCAGGTCCCTGGGTAGACAGGGCACACTTTTTTAAATAGAATTTCTCAGTGGCTGAGAATAACCCATCCAATTGCACCATAGTTTTGTGAAACCCTTTGAAAGGTAGAGAGAGGATGAAACCGTTCTGTATCATCCCACACCTGTGAAGCTCTATTTGTCTCCATAAAGAGGGTGGAGGAGGATTGGAGAAGTCGTCTTTTCTCACCCAGTACATCTCTCTCAGGACTTCGTGACTCTTCTTTAATGAGCGTGAATCCAAATTCTAAAATAAAGTGTCTTCCCCTTCCCTCTAGGTCTTCCTAGCAGAGTTCAAGAAAACCAATCAATTTTTCGCAATAAAAGCCTTAAAGAAAGATGTGGTTTTGATGGACGACGACGTGGAGTGTACAATGGTAGAGAAGAGAGTTCTCTCCTTGGCCTGGGAGCATCCGTTCTTAACGCACATGTTCTGTACGTTCCAGACCAAGGTAAGGCTATCCTTCATCTCTACCTCTCACCCCAGTAAATCTGGGTGCTCCTGGCAGCCCTCATCTGGAGACATAGGATACTCTCTCCGTATATTTCTTCTTTACCTTTGAGTCCACCTTCCATCCATCCAAATAAGTTTCTTCTGCGCTAAACACCACTGAAATATTACTTAGAATTTTTTAATGTAGTTGATCGGGAAAGGGCCTTACTTCTGGATTTGTTTGTTTTTTAGAACTTGGTTTAACTTATATAAGCAGTATGTGACTTGCTTAACAAGGCAGTGCTTTGTGAGAGGGAAAAAGTGACATCTGTTTATTCATCTACCATACGTGTATTTGAAGAGATGAAAGTTGGAAAAATAGATCAAAACCTGTGTGCACTGTTATTTTCCTTTATAAGGCCAGTAGAAGATCATCTTTTAGAGCGGGCTTCATCAGTGAGGCCCTGAGCATTGTGGTGAAAGGGTGAATTTTGTCAGAAGTGTCTCCTCTGGGAGAATTCTCCTCCTGATCTCCTTTTTCCTTAAAATTAAAAAAAAAAAATTCCGTTTTTGACTCATTTTAGAAAATTTGGAAAGTGCTTATATGCTCAGAGAAGAAATCATTTTAGAAAATTGATTTTAGAAAATTTGGAAAGTGCTTATATGCTCAGAGAAGAAATCATTTTAGAAAATTGATTTTAGAAAGTTTGGAAAGTGCTTATATGCTCAGAGATCATTTTAGAAAATTTGGAAAGTGCTTATATGCTCAGAGAAGCAAATCATATGTAATCCCATCACTTGGGTATACTCACCGTTAATACTTCTAAGTTTATCCTTCTAGATTTTTCCCCCATTAGATTTTTAAAGGTAAAAATAATGACCTACTGTAAATACCTCCTGTTCTGTGACTTGCATTTTCAACACTCTCTACATTTCCTCACATCTGTGGATATTCTACAGTTTATCTAATTAGGCTACTTCTAAGTTTTGTTCTGATTCGAATAACTGAACTGAACATCCTTGTAGTTCAGTCTTCCTGCACAAACATAATGATTTTCTCTTTTTATTTTTCTACCCTACTTGACCCTATCCCTGTGTATGTAGCCTAGAATAATAAGCAGACCCATGTGGAGCCATATGGTTAAGGTCCAAAGAACATGAGGAGTTTTTCTCTTGTTCTGTTTCAAGCCTTGATGATAATGTCCTACCTTAGGACAAGTAACCGAGGACCTCAAGATGCCTCCAGCCACAGAAGGTGTTAGTGGGGAAACTGGGAGCCAGCCAGAAAATGTGGACGGTCACTAGGGGTTTCATCACCACTTCTCCAGCTCCCAGTAGCTTCTCAACAAGTGTTTAATTAGGGAATAAATGAATAAATATACTTGGCTAAAATAAAGAGAAACCAGACCATGAAAAAGCACTCAATGATCATATACTGTATTCAAAGCATTGTGAAGGATATAGAACGAATACAGTTCCTGACCTGGAGAATTTCATACTATAAAAAATTAAAGAGGCAAGAATGACACTTATAACAGTGGTGAGTAATATTAATTGCAGAATGCAGACTCTAAGCACCAGAGCTGAGAAAACTAGAAAGTAGAATTTGAATAGAAATTAGAATAGGCAGAAAGGGTCTTGGACAGCAGAGGTGTAGGGGCTATAAGAAGGCATGAAGGAATAAAGGGATTATGATAAGCTCTTTAAAAGTAGGCTTATGTTTTCCAGCAGGAAGGAGTTTGGAATTTCTGATAAGGAGGGTTAGAAAGATTTCCTGCTAGAAATTTCCTCCTGGAGATGGTAAATGTCTGCTGGTCTGGGATGGTGCAGATACTTTACTGGAAGACAAAGTAAGCAACTCTGTCCCACTCTCCTGGTCTGTGTTCTAGATTTGCTGTGGTTACTTACAATCTCATTTTTTCCTCTTGAAATATTGTGGGACTTTTATCAAAATACTAAATACACCTCAGACCAGGCTTCTAGGGGCATTATGTAATCAAGTTTCACTCAGCACCTTTCCCTGCTGTTTTTATATATTTGTTTGTATCATTGTTTTCATACGGTGTAGGGAAGGCTGTTGTGAATCCCACTCTGCAGAAAATAGGTATGTTTCCTCCTCTGATTGTCAGTTAGAGCCTCAGGCAGAGTTTGCTTCTTTCCCCGTTACAGGAAATGCTCTTAAGATTTCAAGCCTATGTAATGCTTTACCAAAACCAGAAAAGTAAATGCATGAGAAAAAGTGTCAGAGAATGTACATATCAAATGTAAAAATGACTGTCTCACTACTTAGATTTCAAGGAATTGAGGCCTTTTAGAAATAAGAGATGGGGGGTGGGCAGGGAGAGGCAAAGCTTACATTATACTTTCTGAAGGACCCTGATTTGAGATGTCCTGATTTTTTAATTTTATTCATTTTTTATTGAAGTATAGTTGCTGTACAATATTATGTTATAGGTGTACAATATAGTGATTCATAATTTTTAAAGGTTATACTCCATTTACAGTTATTATAAAACATTGGCTAGATTCCCTGTGTTGTACAATATATCCTTGTAACTTATTTTATACTTAATAGTACTGATTTGTTCTTCAACCCTTGTATGTCAAACAAAATAACCAAATGCCACAAGTAAGTGTGAACAGCAGCAATCGATATGAATCATGATTTCCTCTGGGTAATTTTTTAATGTAGTCAGTTGGAAAAGGGCCTTACTTCTGGATTATTTTCTCTGCTTGCTTATTTTTTAGAATTTGGTTTAACTTATATAACAACGAGGATTCCAAGCATATGTGACTTGCTTAACAAAGCAAAGATTGCTTTGGCTCTTTGGGGTCTTTTGTGGTTCCATACAAATTTTAAGGATTATTTGTTCTAGTTCTGTGAAAAATGCCATGGGTATTGTGATAGGTATTGCATTAAATCTGTAGATTGTTTTCCGTAGTATGGACATTTTAACAATATTAAGTATTCTAATCCATGAACACAGGATATCTTTCCCCATTTCTTTGTATCATCTTGAATCTTCTACATCAGTATCTTTTAGTTTTCAGACTACAGGTCTTTCACGTCTTTAGTTAAATTAATTCCTAGGTATTTTATTCTTTTTTGATGCAACTGTAAATGGGATTGTTTTCGTACCTTCTCTTTACGCAGTATACAGAAATGCAACACATTTCTGCATATAAATTTTGTATCCTGCAACTTTATTTATAAGGTCTAATATTAGTTTTTTCACAGTATCTTTATGGTTTTCTATGTATAGTATCATGTCATCTGCAAATAGTGACAGTTTTACTTTCTTTTTTCCAATTTGGATATCTTTCGTTTTCTTGTCTGATTGCTATGGCTAGGACTTCCAATACTGTCTTGAATATAAGTGGTGAGAGTTGGAATCGTTTTCTTTTTCCTGATATTAGAAGAAAAGCTTTCAGCTCTCCACTATGGAATAAGTTGTTAGCTGTGGGTTTGTCATATATGGCCTTCACTAAATATGTTGAAGTGTATTCCTTCTATACCCACTTTGATAAGAGTTTTTATCATGAATGGATGTTAAATTTTTTTAAATGCTTTTTCTGTTATCTATTGAGATTTGTCCTTCGTTTTGTTAATATGGTGTATCATGTTGACTGATTTGTAGATATTGAACCATCCTTGCATCTCTGGGATAAATCCCACTTGATCATGGTGTATGACTCTTCTAATATATTGTTCAACTTGGTTTGTTTATATTTTGTTGAGGATTTTTACATCTGTATTCATCTGGGATATCGGCCTGTAATTTTTGTGTGGCGTCTTTGTCTAGTTTTAGCATCATGGTAATGCTGATCTCATAGAATGAGTTCAAAAGTATTCCTTCCTCTTTAATTTTTTTGGAATATTTTGAGAAGGATAGGTATTAACTCTTTTTATATATTTGGTAGAATTCCCCTGTGAAGCAATCTTGTTCTGGACTTTTGTTTGTTGGGAGTTTTTTTTTTTTTCTACTTATTCAATTTCATTACTGATTATCAGTCTGTTAGATTTTCTGTTTCTTCCTGATTCAGTCTTGAAAGATTGAATGTTACTAGGAATTTATCCATTTCTTTTAGGTTGTGCAATTTGCTGGCATATAATTGTTTATAGTTGCCTCTTATGATTCTTTGTATTTCTGTGGTGTCAGTTATAATTTCTCTTTCATTTCTGATTTTATCTGGGCCATCTTTCTTGATGAACGTGGCTAAAGGTTTATCAGTTTTCATTATCTTTTCAAAGAACCAGCTCTTAAGTTTAAGTGATCATTTCTACTGTTATTTTTTGTCTCCATTTCATTTATTTCCACTCTGATCTTAATTATTTCCCTCCTATTAACTTCGGGCTTCGGGCTTTATTTCTTTTTATAGTTCGTTTAGGTGTCAAGTTAGGTTGTTTGAGATTTTTATTTCTTGAGGTAGGCCTGTATTTCTATGAACTTTCCTCTTAGAACTGCTGTTGCTGTGTCCCGTAGACTTTGGAAAGTTGCATTCCATTTGTCTCAAGGTATTTTTTATTTCCTCTTTGATTTCTTCAGTGACCCATTGGTTATTTAGTAGTATGTTGTTTGGCCTCCATTTGTTTGTGTTTTTTGCAATTTTCTTCTTTTGATTTCTAGTTTCATACCATTGTGGTCAGAAAAGATGCTTGGTATGATGTCAGTCTTGTTAAATTTATTGAGACTTGTTTGGTGGCCTAACATAACCTACCTGGAGAATGTTCCATGTGCACTTGAAAAGAATCTGTATTCTGTTTTTGGATGGAATGTTCTGTATGTCATTTAAGGCCAGTGTTTCTTTATTGATTTTTCTGGTTGGATGATCTATCCATTGTTGAAAGTGGCATTAAAGTCCCCTATTATTATTGTATTACTTTCAATTTCTCCCGTTATGTCTGTTAATAGTTAGGTGCTTCTATGTTGGGTGCATAAATATTTACAAATGTTAAATCCTGTTCTTAGATTGACCCCTTTATTATTATGTAATGTCCTTCTTGGTCATTTGTTACAG